TCGCCTCGTTTCTTCCCCTCCCCCTTCGGGGGTGGGGGTGGGGCGGGGAGAGGGGCGCCCGGAGAGCCGCATCTATTGGCAGCTTTGTGATCGATGAGAAACTGCTCGCCGCCGACTCGGCTTCCAGGCTGGCTTCGCGCGACCCTTGAGTTTTCGCCTCTGTCGCGTCCCCCATACTGACAGGTGCTCCGGGCAACTCGCTGGTGACTTCTCGCCGCTCCCCCGTCTCCCCCGCGTCCCCACCCCCTCTTTCCTCCCTCGCCTGCACCCCCACCCCCACCACCTCGGCACAGCTCGGGATTTGTTTAAACCTTGGGAAACTGGTTCAGGTCCAGGTTTTGCTTTGATCCTTTTCAAAAACTGGAGACACAGAAGAGGGCTCTAGGAAAAAGTTTTGGATGGGATTATGTGGAAACTACCCTGCGATTCTCTGCTGCCAGAGCAGGCTCGGCGCTTCCACCCCAGTGCAGCCTTCCCCTGGCGGTGGTGAAAGAGACTCGGGAGTCGCTGCTTCCCAAGTGCCCGCCGTGAGTGAGCTCTCGCCCCAGTCAGCCAAATGCTCCTCTTCGGGCTTCTCCTGCTGACATCTGCCCTGGCCGGCCAGAGACACGGGACTCAGGCTGAGTCCAACCTGAGTAGCAAATTCCAGTTCTCCAGCAGCAACAACAAGGAACAGAACGGTGAGTCTCTCCCCCATTCCTCCCCTTCTCGTTTCTCTGTGTGTTAGCATTGGCATTGTGCGTTGGCGTGTGATGCACACCAGGCTGCAAGGGTATCATTGTGTCTGTTTCCATGCAAGTGCGCTCTCCGTTCAGTTCATTGGCATTGACTTTTGGAGGTTACGTGTAGTTTGCAACTTCGGAAGCTGCTACAAAGCTCTAACTGGGCAACGTGCGTGCCACTGCAGCCGCAGCTAGAGAAGACATTCTGGAAGCGATTGTGAACGTTAGGATCGCTCATTGCCAGAGTTAGAAGTTCAAGAACTGCATCTAAAAACGAATCCAAAATGAATGAGTCTTGGCATGTTTAAGTTTACTCAGAGTTTTTTTTTCTAGGGGAGGTGGGGTGATGGATGGGGACTTCAGGAAATGTATCAGCCGCATTAATTGAAGCACTCTAAGTGGAAAGGCATCGATTAATCAATAAATACATAGGAAATACAGAGGTCAAGAGGCCCAGTGGGCGTTTTTAGGAGAATTTAAAAAAAATGGGTTTTTTTGCGCTTTAAGTTTTTCAAAAACGTGCCTTTGTATTCTGAAGTACTTACCTTTCTGGTGGTGTGTTTTTGTACGTTTTGGTGAATAACTGCTATTTTGTGTGTGCTGGAAACGACTTAATCCTGCATAGGAAATGAGAATTACTTTCAGCTTTCAAGTGTACCTGAAATGTTTAGAAAACTCTCAGATGCAAACTCTCTTGGGCTGGGATTGCACAGAGCTGGAGAAAGGCTCCTTTCATGAAGCCAGGGCAGCTCCAGGGTGTGTAATTTGCTTAGCCTCTGAACCCCATATGATTTACATCATTCAATTTCTAAACTCTTTTTCTCTTGATCTACCATTATGAAGTCATTTTTGAGAATACTTTGTAAATAGAAATTTTATACTGCACATGAAACCACAATGTTAATGTAGGCTGTCTAAAATTGGAATATTAAACACCCTGTTTACAACTGGTGGCTCTTATTCTTACTTGAAAAGAAATGTACATGTTTTTACTGCTTTGTATGTCATCTATTCTGAATGCAAGGATGCTGTCACTTCATTAACAAGGCAAAATGAACACAAGCCATATATGTAGAAAATCAGAAAATCAGAGTGGATTGTACTATATTTTTAAGTAACAGTGACTTTTTCTTTACATATCAGGGTGTTTCAAAGCTTCAACTTTGAATTTAAACTCTATAAAATGCTCATTCTTTAGAAATCACAGACATTTCTAGAATACAAAAACAGATAAAATAAGGATTCCTGAGATTTTTATAAACATTATTTGTATTTGTTGCTTATGCAGCAAGACACAGTATCACATTTATCAGCCAACGTGGTTGCTTCTTACAACTTGCTAATGTGATGGCACATGGCACCTGCAGGCTCCTTGAGCTGCTGATCAAAGGGCAGCCTAGGGATCTATCTCTAATCACAGGAGCTGCGGAGGGCTGGGGGAAAGTGATCAAAGGAGCCACAGCACCAGCTGTACCCTGGCAGGAAACAGATCAGACCAACCTTTGTTCTTTCTCATGTAAAATAAATGTGCAGTTCAAAATACTGCTTCTTACTAGACAAACTTTTCCATAATGACAACAATGCACAATATTCCCGGCTTCTGTCTCCTATTTGTTATTCTTCCTGTCCCATATCATTTCTCCTGTTGCCTTGTCTCATTAAGCCTGTCCTAACATCTCCCTGATTCCCTTTCAATCTGTGTCCTTTGTCCTTTCCTTGTAGTTCTCACTTGGGTTCTACATGCTATCATCACTTTGTCATGGACCCCAGAGCTCTCATGCAGCATGTGGCCATTGGCCACTTTACCAAGTAGGTTCATACTCCCAGGAGAGATGGGTTCATTAAGTCAGTACATATACATTCTGTTGCCATCTGAGGCTGGGCCATTTCCATTCCTAAGTTGCATGGTGCTAAAAATAGCCTGGTTGTTTCCTAATCTGTGGGCAGAGGATTGGGCTAAGCTTGGGGGTTGGACTATGTTAAGGTTGGCAGCAGGAAGTAACTGGAAGTAGAACTCTTCACCTTGTAATTTTTAGCCTACAGAGATGTGGGACTGGCCAGCACTAGGGGGCAATATAGAGCTATTTTCCTGCACATGCTCAGGTTGATTTTTAAGTTTCCAGAATTGAGGATAACAGGTGGGTGCTGAAGAAGATCTCCCTGGAATGTTCACTAGGTAAAGTATCATCTCAACTTCAGATATCAATACCCTGTTGTTTTGAGGTGAGGAGCCCCACTGGGGACTGAACCTGTGCTGGTTCAGCTTCTACTAAGCCCAACAGCAACTACGCGACACCTTGACGTGAAAATATTAGTTTTTTTTTTTTTTTTTTTTTTTACTTTCACAGTTTTCATTTCCTTATGTGGGTATTTTTCGCTCTCATATTGAGTTACAGTTGATTTTTGATTGCCCTATTACCTCTCCATTTGGACAGTTGTCCAGTTCTTTAAATGCAAACCCTTCCCAAGGATACCATGTAGAAATTGCTATTGACCCAGTCTGTGCATTGTGTCATTTTGTTAAAGGTCTTCTAAGCGTCAAATATGAAATGCCCACACTGATCTGTTGTGAGTATAGATGCTCATTTTGTTTTCAAGAACCCCTTCCCATAATACTCCCTTTTCTTGAGTATTCTAAAGTCTCAAATGGTGTTTACTCTGTAAATCCCCAGGGCTGCTCTATTTCAGTATTAACTTGGTGTCCTAGGAGCTGTTTTAAATGGAAATTGATTGCTATAGCCAATGCTCAATATATGGAGTTAGACTGGAACGTGTGGAGATTATTCAAAATTAGTTTTGAAGGATCAATGTCATTTACTCTATTATTAGTTACCTGGTTTTTAACCTACTATTGGATTGCAATTCTTGTTATTTTACTGTAAAAATAGCTTTATCCACCAATATTATAAGTTGCTTTCGTGTACTTCATTCTTAACCTTCTAACCTGGAAGTCTCACACATAAAACAAGAGTCTCCAGATTTAACATAAAGAAAGAGATAAGAGATAACACGGGCTTGCTCAGAGGGTGTCTAGCCTGTGAACTTTCTGTGTGACCATGGGAAAAACAACAACAACACCAACCAACTAGTATCTGTGCTCACTGATTTTAGATGAATGTGCCCATCATGAAATGATTAAGATCTGGGATGGTGCTTCTCGGTTGTAGCAGAAGGTATCATAAGCATACAGAAACAAAACAAAACAAAGCTTACTTTGTCTATTGCATATAACCCATACAGATGGCAATCACAAGGTTGGTGGTGGAGTAATGCCTCTTCTACTTTGTGTCATTGATGAGTGATTTTAATTTACTTCTAGACCAGGAACATGTTTCTTATTTTTCTCATTTTCTTTAACCATTTTGAGTTTCGATTTGGAATATGCTGCCATTAGATAGGGTTAGCCTTATGAACATCAATTATTATATGTGCTCTTTTCCTCAAGGGCTTTTGTGGCATGTGCGGCAATTTGCTTTGGGGACAAATGAACCACTAGTAATGCCTTTTTGCCTGTTCTTGCGTTTATGGATTTTCTATCTCTTTTAAGTTGCAGGTTTCTCTTTCTGCCAATGCCAGTGTGCCTGTGTCTATAACATAACTGTGCCCATCCCAACCCCTGCCCTTTCTAGGGGGCAGCTTCAAAGCCTAATGTTACTAAAAATGAGACAACCTTTGAAATAGTATTCAACAGTAAATAGGCTTTAACAGAGGACTGAAGGGACTTTCCTGCAAGTCGCTCTTTAAGTTTTAGCGCATGACCTCTGTGACATTTATTTTTGTTGTTTAGACGCTTTTTTTTTTTAACTTCCCCCCTGGTTCTCTGCTGTGTTTGAGATAGCTGAGGAAGCTGAATAAGTAAAGTATCCTTACATAATGATGAATTTAACTTTTATTTTTCATGATAGGTGATTTAAAAAGCCCCATTCTATTATATGGTAACTTTTTCTCCCTTGCCAACTGTTATCTTTTATATTTAGTTTACTCTGCATTTACCTCTAAAAGGCATTCAGCAAGTACAAAGATCTGCAGGAAGCTTCAGGGACTAGTATATCATTTGTTAAGTAGTTGTAAATAAACGGTAGGATCTGACACTAAACTTTCCCCAGTGATGTCATCTTGTGGAGCTCTGTCTCAGGCACGGAAGTCTTAGCTTTGTCTATTCTTATCTCAATCTTTTTGAAACTTCTTACATATTTTCTTTATATTTGCTTCTACTTCATGTTTTTCCAACCTTTATAGTCCTCAGATCCTAAGTTTTATCTGCGAACTTTCACACCATTTGTAGAAAGAAAATCCTAATGATAATGTGATATGTTAAATAAATAGTAATGAATCAAGACATTCATAATGTCCATACCAAAAAAAAATGTTTCTAAGACTGCTAAAATTTTCTCCATGGGTTACTATTTGCATCAACTAAAATGGTAGAGATCATAATCAAAGTCCTTTCATTTACTTACTCTAATTTTAATGTTTCCAATTGCTTTATTTGAAAGCCTTATACACAGCCAGAATAAATATATAACCCTATATAATTTCTATATCACTCATTTATTGAATGATGTCTATGTTATATCATTTTTCTCCACCAGTGCCTCCAACTGTGATTTTTTCCAACTCTCCTTTTTCTGTCTCCTAAGGGTGCTTCTAGTGATTGGTTTTCAGTTGGTGTGCACCGGTACTAACTACCATACTGATTGTTAGAATATTGAAATATTTCCAATGAGTGGTGAAGGAGCTAGTGCTACTCTTCCAGGACAAATGGACTGACCATCTGATGAGCCAGAAACTACAATGTCCAGCATAGCTCCAGACCTCTAGGATACCAGTGCAACCTTGCTGGCCTCTGTCCTGATTGACCATTGTTCCTGCCCTACTGATTGTTAAGGATTTTACACTTTTAGTTGTGGACAATTTAGTTTATATTGGCATTAAAACTTTTATCTCTTTTCTTGCCT